TAACTTGTTACTATCTTTAATCTTGGTTTATTTTGGACATTAACATTTCACAGTTATATCGAATTATAGAAAATTTCTGTTTAGTTTAGGCATATTACATAATTAATAGTTATTAATATATTGAAAAACAGTAGTTTTTTGAAAGCATGATATCACGCTATACATAATTGCTATTCACATGCTATCACTGTTGAATAAAATCATAGTTACATACGTCTACTAAACTACGTCTTCTCGAATGAGTTTTGATAATTATTAAATAAATTGAAGTATTAATTGATCTAAAATAACGAGTTATTTTTGTATTTTTACGATGCAACAAATACAAAATTTATCTATTCTTGGTTATAGTCTAACTGTATAATAAAGATTTATATGAAAGTAATTCACAAAAAATAGTTTCATCAGAATATCAAATAAATCTTGTAACAATATATAGACTATAGATATTAATTATCATCAAAAATAAAAAAAAATATATAACATAATAGCATCGTTTACTGTTGGTATTAATATTAGCTAGAAGCTCGAATCAACTAGAAAAAAATTATTGATTTTGCATCAATTTAATTATTAGTGTCCTGAGAGATGAGAAGATTCTAATTCAATTTTTTGTTTTCGTCAATGAAGACTTAATTTATGAAAATAATGAAAGTTTATAAAACTGAACGATAAGATTTCTAAGTTGAGAAGTCTAAGTTAACTCTTAATCTGTCGAAAGTTTTGGCTTGAATGTTCGTAGCTTGACGATGATCAACTTCCAATTATTTTAGTCATATTATATAGAATTTTGCTCTTGTTGACAAAATAAGCTCTTTTCTAATCGAAAACCATTGACTTTAGAACATCTTTACCTTTCATCACATTTAAATAGATGAGTTGGTGTAAAAATGATTGATATTTTTCCTTTTGACTGCATTCGATTATCTTTAATCAGCTTTGACAGATGCAGTCGTTAGAACCAAATATAATAATGTTGATTGGAAAACGATGTAAATTTCTATTTTACAAATATGAGAGATTGAGTCATGACGAATTATTAATCGAAATCATTGAAATGAACACGAATTGTTCTTTTTTCTTTCTTCTATTTTGCATGTTTTATGAAAACGAAAATTAGTTATTTTTAGTTTTCAAATTGTTCTTATCATTCGTCAAATTATATCTTTTGTATCATCTTGTTTTTCTATATAATTATGAAAATTATTGAGTGAAATAGTAATTTGTTGTCATCCTTACTTAATTGATATGTTTTCTTTATTCATATATCGACTTCGTTTATATTATACACACAGTTTTTTTTTGATAAATGGAAATTTATGCTTTAATAGATATCGTTTTTGATTGCAGTTTTCTAATGAATGAATGTGACGATGATGATTTCATTGTGATTAAAATTTTTTTCTCAGTTTGACACTTTGTTTTATTTTTGTGCTTGATTTATAATCAAAAAGACACTGATTTGATCGTCAAAACTGATGAGTAGAAATAGCAGTGTTTTCTTTCTCTATTTTATGGCGAAGAAATGCAAATAGCAGATAAGTCGACAAGCGGAAGAATAAAAGGACTATGAAGATAAAAAAAAAAAAAAAAGGAAAAGGAGGAGAAAAAGAAAGTATGAAGACAATCTGTATGCATTACTTCTTTTTCTTTTCTTCTTGAACCGTTGTCATTGCAACAGTAGAAAAAAAAAGTTTTCTGCATTGATTTACTCTCAAATTAGTAAATTTTCAGGTCTGTGTTAGTTATATAGTGTTGAATAATTTATTAAGTAAAGATGAGTCCAGATTAGGTTTTTTATGATATAGGTATAAAAACTTTTATTAGCATTTTTATATTTTTTATCTCTATATAAACACTGAGATAGAAATCTTTTCTTTTTATTTGTAGTTGCCTTCGGCTAAGAATATTGTACGCAGAAAAAGTTTCACCCATCAACTGTGTAAAAAAAAAAATGAGCAATTAGTTCAACATTCCGCTTACTTGCATTTTCTATCATTCGTACTTTGTTTTTCGCTATTTTAGATTTGTCATATAACTTTGTTAGGAAACAACTAGTAGTTAACTGTAAGTCTTTTATTTAGGCTGTTGTATGGTTTATGCTAAAGAACATGTTATAATTATTAAGTAATATATGTCTTTAACATTTTTAGAAACGAGGAAAAAAAAACTCTTCTGACTGTTGTACGAGTTTACTATGATATCATTTAATAGAAAACCTATGAGAAAAAAAATGATGAAGATTTGACATGAAAAATAGAAGTCCGTGATCCATTCAATTGTTGCAACATAGCGAGACAGACGTCTCATTTTTATTATGTAAACTAACTTATAAATCTTTAGTTTCACTTCATTCATCTTATTCAATCATTTTCTATTGATTATCCCAGAAGACATTTGTATAGCACACATGTATCGGATCATATATAGAATCAACATTCCATATGAATTCAAAATTTTGATCTATATATATACATATATCGTTTAAGTTGTTGAGAATGTAAGATGATTTAACACGGAAGAAGATTGTATTTTACAAGTGTGTGAATATATGTGCGTGTGTTTTTATCTCGCCTGTTTGCTTTTTATCGTTTCGTAAAATCTCATATTACATATTTTCTTTTATATAATAAATGGTTAGATCTCACGCTCACATACTTGATATTAATGGCCAATTAATTTTTCTTTATTCACGAGTAAAAAAAGGATAAAGATTGATTTATTTTTTCTTTATGTGAGCAACAAAGAAACTTTCTTTATAACAAAGAAAAGACCTAGTGTCAAATAATTCTGAACATCTTCTTTTTTTTTTTCTTCTAGAATAAAAAGAAGGATTCAATTGATAGTTGATAATCTTTCTATAGCATGACATAGACAATAGAGAAAACAGTGCATTGAATTTTAAATGATGAATATATATATATATGTGTGTATGTTGTATTGTTATGCTTAATGAGAAGAATATTCAGAATCAAATTTTTGTTTTTCATTTATTTGTCAGAGATTGTTTTAACATTGATTTCTATTATTATCAGATCTTTATTCTTAACAATGATTATATATTTATTTGAGTATGAATACTTTTTTTTTCTTTTAAGTAGACTACTTCTCATCTTTTTATATTTAAGTATATAAAAGCATGCATAATAAAAAAAAAAGCCGACCTAGTCAGAAACTAATGCATATAATAAACGGAACTAGAAGTACGAATGTCTACCCGACGTTTCTTTCTATCTCTCTCTATGTATCTATCTAAATAACAATTGATTGAGTTGTGTTTTCTCTAGAAAATGTATTCATTATTTTTCTCCATTGGATTTCCGTCTATCTATTCTATTTCTCTCTATTTGTCGATGTTTGTTAGTAGTCAAATCAGTGTTTTAATAGAGGAGAAATTAACGAAATTAACGAGAAGCACAAAAAACAACGGAAGATAGCATTGTCAATCTATTTTATTGCCAATTCGTTTTGTAACTTTTCACTAGATGTATATAGAAATATTTTTCATTGAGTCAGATGATCGATAAGACAAGTTCTTATAATCGTTAGATAGTTCTCAAGAGAAACGGCTGACAAAATTGAAGGAGAGGCGAAAAAAAAAAGTCAGGCTATAACGAAGGTAAAATAAGTACGTAAGTAATGATTTTTGAGTTCGTTCTCATATGGTATCTATAAAATGACTCTAATTTCCGCTCGATAATTCAACACAAAAAGAAGCAGGCATATGATTAGAATCGTAGATTATTGTCGACACATGTCAATTATGTGTACGGTAAAACTTATTCTGTATATGAATGCAAATGCAAATAGATAGAAGAAAATATATATCAACTATCATCGTTAATATTGCAATAGAAATTATTGTTTTGGTCTTATGGTATCGAATAATCTTTTATTCTTTGTTAAATTCCCAATAAAAAATGACGATTTACATCTTCTCGTCTATTTTGGTATTGACTACAAGTCTAATTGAACTTTTATTGTAACATATGTCACTATTTTTTAAACACTAGGAAATCTGATTTTTTTGTAAGCGACAAACGAGAGAATGGAAAATTCTATTGCATTCGTTCATCAATCATTTTAGTAGATGATGACATCGAAAAATAAACGGTGAAAATTCATTTTATCTCGAAAATTGTTTCCGCTTTTCTGTTCCCTATGTTGTCATGACCACTTTTTTCTTTTCTTTGTTCTATATTGCTCGCATTTCTTTCAGTGATAATGATGACGCACGACCATATACACGTCTATATTCAGTTCTTATTTTCTTTGCTTCTATCAAAAAAAAAAAAAAAAATAATTCAGAGAAACTTTCTTCTTTCTTTTTCATGCTTTTTAGATCGATGCTGTTAAGTTCTTCTTTTATAAAAAAAAGAAAAATATCATCTCAAAGACTGACTCTTCAACAACTTTGTCTTTCATGTAATATATACTTTGACTATAAAGTAGAACACAGGATAATTAGTTTTTTAAAGAATTATATTGAAGTAAAGGAGATTTTTTTTTCTTTATTAGCCGATTTTATTTCTAGAAGAAACAACACTTGATTAACTCTTTTTATTCTTATCCAACATGCATGAAATAGTTGCATGAATTATCTGACAAGTTAGATAAAAATAAACAATGATCACTATTCAATATGACAGTATGACTATATGTATGATTAAACAGAAGAGAAAGGAAATTAAAAATAAGATATTGTGTTTTGTTTTGTATTATCCTAGCAAAGATAAATATCCTAGAGTAAGAAACAGTGCGAGGCTAGGTCTTCCTTCTAGCAAATAATAATAATTTTTACTTTAATGAACGTCAAAATGTTCATGATAATATGGTAAAGACGATAATGGAATGAGAATCGTTCGTAAGTCTTTTTTTTTCCTTCATCATAATTTGTAAGAAAAACTATTATACTTTCTCGTTGATGAAGAATTATATTTCATCAAAGATAACATCATGTAATTTGAATAAATTGTTTTAGTGATGCACATTTAAAATTCATGACGACAGAAGACAATTATCTCGATGTTATAGAATTAAATGTAGGTGGTGTAATATATGCAACAACAATAGCAACATTACAACAAGCTGAACCTGATTCACCACTTGCAACAATAACATTAATAAATTCATCTGAAATGCCAACAACATTCGGACGTGATAGCAAAAATCGAATATTTATTGATCGAGATGGTGTTCTTTTTCGTTATGTATTAGATTATTTAAGAAATAAGAAATTATCATTACCAGAAAATTTTTCTGAACGTGAACGTCTTCGACTTGAAGCTGATTATTATCGATTATCTGATATGAGTCGAGCATTAGGACAACAACGTTCATATGCTAATACAAATGGAAAATATTTTAATGAAAATTTAGTTCATATGAGTGCAACAACTAACTCGATTGATTTTAACTCATCATTTAATAGTTCACGACCTCCACCTCGTTCTAATAGTGGATATATTGTTATTGGTTATCGAGGTACATTTGGTAAGTAAAAGTTTTAGAAAACAAAAATAAAAATAAAAAAAATCAAATCAAATCAAATTTTTATTCGAATAGCTTTTGGTCGAGATGGTTTAGCTGATGTAAAATTTCGAAAAATTTCTCGTATACTTGTTTGTGGTCGTGTACATCTTTGTCGTGAAGTATTTGGTGAAACATTAAATGAATCACGAGATCCAGATCATGGTCAAACTGATCGATATACATCACGTTTTTTTCTTAAACATACATTTCTTGAACAAGCATTTGATCTACTTAGTGAAGCTTCATTTTTTATGGTAAGTTTAAAATGAAATAATACGAATAAAAAAAAAAAAAAAAACTAAACAAAATAATTAAATCTTTAATATATCTTATTTCAATAGGTTGGTTGTGCAGCAAGTGGTTGTAGTAGTTCAACTAGTGAAATAGGAAAACAGACTGATAATGAAGAAAATCGTTGGCTGCATTATAATGAATTTGTCTTTTATCGCAGTTAATTTTCCTTTTTTTTTTTTTGCTATTTCTTGCTGCGGACCTTTTTCCTTTCATTTTATTTGACAAATATATACAATTGGTATATAAATTGTTATTTTTTTTTTCTATATTCTGCGTATCTTTATCTATCTGTAATCTACAAAAAAAAAAAGCTTAGAGAATAGAAAAAAAAAACTCGAAAAAAAGTTTTGTGCTTTTCATCAACTACTTATTATAATTATTGATACTTCCAACAATGAATGTTAATTTTTCAAAACATAAAAAATAGAGAACTTATATATCGTTGATTCGGTAAGCAAAATTAACATAGATATTTTCAATCATCAATGAATATGTGAAATAGTAATGTTAAGCTAGTTGATGGTGAAAAGAAAAACCTGAGAAGTAAAATGATACTATTGTATCAGCTGTTCTGATTTCATTTATTTATTATTGATAGAGTTTCAGATTTTTGTTTTTGTATGTTAACTGAACCAATAGATCAAACAGACTGATGTAAATTGATATTGATCATTTACTTTACAAGACATCACTAGTTGAATCTTAAAAGACTTGTTTTTCTTTTCATTTATATTTATTTATCATGAATGATTTAATATACTAGTGAATATTCATGTTAAAAAAAGCCTACATTCCATTGGTTCTTCTAATTGATTGTAATTAAAGACTTACGATTTCAGAAAACTTCTCGTTTGTTCGAATATTATCAAAATCAAGTTTTAAACAAAAAAAACAAATTTTAATTAGTCTTACACAATGTGTCCGATCGAGTTCATGTTCTTTTCAAAGCTAAATTATTGAAATTGATGAGACCCATATTTGAGAGAAAAAAAAATTTACAAGCTGATCTTCAGGGGTTTTAAAAGTAATCTTTAAAAAGCATTGAGAATGTTCACGACTTTAGTCTTACTTTGCTCGATTAAGCTGAATTTTCATTTTGAGGCAACTGACATAACGTCTCAGAGGTGTACTCAAGATTTTTAATAAATATCAATCTCTTGTTTTTTAATTAAAAAATACGGGAAGCAGCACCACCTAAAGTAAGACCGAAGCAATCAACACACCCAATGGTTTTGAAGATCCTTTAAAAAACCTTTAAAGCCGATAGGTTCTACTCCCATAGAGTTTTCTTATATGGTTAAAGAATTCAATTCAATATTCAATTACGGATCTATTTTTCTGATATTTGTTATGTGGCTTGTTCAATATATCTCAAACATGCTGAAATTTGATACAGGAAAAAAACATGACTATGAACGTTTTTAATCAATCTTCATCATGCTGTCATTCAGTTGAAGTTATTTATTGCACTTCTGTTCCGTCAGTGTTTTATTAAGTATGAGCATATAGACGATTATAGTATGTGGCATAATTTGAATTGAAATTGTGAAGAGTTCTTTTTTAATGATTTTGTCATTAAGGATCATTTATCAGTTCACTTGAAGATAAAAATCATTTTCAAGCAAAAAAAATAGCGTTGCTAAATATAATTTTGAATAGCTACTCATGTTGCTGTATATGAAACTGATATTATTGCAGGAAACTGTTATTTCAAAACGATTTGGAGAAAGAATATCTTGTTAAAGTTCAAGTGCTTTTGAATAGTCTATCATGTTATTATGCACGAAACTAATATTACCGTAAGCAATAGACAATGAAAAGTGATTTGAAAAGAAAAATGGTTTTCGTTTACGTAAAATAATATTGCTGTTTTTTGGAATCATCTGGGTTATTCGTAATGTACCCAAATGAATGATAAACACAAAAAATGTTCTCTTGTTCTTATTAAGTATTTGATCGAGCCTTGATCTGCAGAATTCTTTCATTTTATGACATTCACATATCATAATTATTTGATAATCTAATCAGTGTCATTTTATAAATACTTTAAATTTCTCTTAGAATAGACTCGGAAAAATGTGAAACTATTTATTTTTTGTCATCACCTGTCAGCTTAGTTTTCTTAATTCTATCCCTATGGAAAATGATGTACATAGAGATAAGAACTTCTTTTTTCTATTGTGAACTAATTACTGTCATCTATGAAGATAAAATGACAAGAATATCGAAAGATCAATCATGATGTGATGATAAGAATGTCAACCCTTGCAAAAGGGTTCAAAATATTTTTTTTGAATATGAAAAAAATATCTCTCTATCTTTGCCGATGAATAATAAATGATTAATTGATATCCGTTCTTCTTTAGTTTTTATTAATTTTTAAAAATTCGTGACTGCTTAACCATGTTGATGATAGATAAGAAAATGGTGTATTATAGTTAGTACACTATTGTCTTGCAAACAATCTTGTCATTTAAAAACAAAAATAATGAATAGATGTTTGCGGACTATACTGACGTTCATATTCAACACATACTTCAAAACGTGGCTGTACCTAAACAATGGTTATAACTGATATAAGTTAAAATTTGATGTATCAATAATATTAGGAATGAAACTCAACGAGATGAAATCCGGATTAAAATATTAACCGACTTACTTTTCGGCTTGATAAATTGATGCAATAGTCCGTATATAGCCTTGATTTTCAATCCTAATTGAGATCATAGTAAGTAGCTGAACTCATTGATAGAAAAAAAATATACATTCCATTCAGTTGAGATAAGTTATGGATAACGGATATTCTTTTTTAACTAATACTGTTCCATAAAGACCAAAACAACAACGAAAGTGGTTAGTCCATATTAGAAATGTTTGATGGGTGATGCCCATATCTATCTTTCGGATCGATAATCGGGATATTACCTATGATTGAATGTAAAACAGATCAAGTTGAAAATACCTGGTCAAATATACACAGTTTGAGCATATTTGAAAGCATATATTCATAGATAAATTTGTAAAATTTCCCTAGCTTCTCGTGAGATATGTAATTTAATATTTTATTTCATTAAGACTCTCTGGACTTTTACCTTACAACGTACCTATTTAGGTGTTTTTAAATTTTGCATTAATTTTGAGAAAATCGAATTTTCCTTGATATTAGAAATCAACTGTAAGACCGACGTCGAATCGCATATATTTTAACGAAATTTATTTTTATGAAAAGTCGATTCTGTGTTCTCTGTCATCATTTTACTGTGAACCATCTGAAAATTGATTTTTGGTAAGATCACCTATTTTTTTATCAAAATATGAGATTCAGCGTCGTATTTCGCATTGATTTCGAAAATGTTATTCATCTTGTTATTAGAATAAGCTATGATGAGCGAAATTACCAAATTTGAACACAATTTTAATAGTTTTGTATGTTTTTTGCTACAAAAAATTAAGGAAACTCTAATTTTCTCAAAAATAATGTAAAATTTCAAAACATCTAAATAGGTACTTTAGATAGTAAGAGTCGAATGATTGTTAGTCCAATAAAATATTAGGTTACCTATCTTCTCATGTGAAACTCAAGAAACTTACAAATTTATCTATGAATATATACTTTTAAGTGTACTCAAGCTGTTTGTATTTGACAAGGTATTTTTCAATTTGATTAATTTTATCTTCAATCATGGGAAATATCATCATTATGGATCAGAACAGATAGAGATGGGCATAATCTATGAACATTTGTGAGAATCTTGATTTTAGTCACTCGTCATTGTTGCCTATGTGTTACAAATATCAATCATTGAATGGTATTGTAGAACTTAATGAGTTACGCAACTATGTAGAGAAAAGTGTAAAATACTAAGAGCACTATAAAAGTCTGATTTACTGATCAAATGATGACAGTAATGTCACCTTGTATACTTTGGCATTCCTTATAGGCAAATCAGAAATAGCTGATATTTTTGATCTAAAGGTTTCAAATGATGATGTGGCATTTGAGATAATAAAGTTGACAATGAAAAGTTTTTGCTAACCGTTGGCTCCATTCATAGTTGCTTAGGAGTCTGGCGGATACTCTCTTAATGATTGCATGAGTTATGCGCATATTCAAAAAAGCTTATATACTAAACTTATAAAAATTATATGCATGAGCACACTTACAACAATCAACTGAAATAATATAATAATAAAAACTTTTCTACTCAAGATGAAAGAATGCTTGTTGCCATTGAGGATGACTGAATCTATTTACTCATTTAGATTTCATATTTGGCTTGTTTATTATAGACTTGGTTATTTATGCTGTGAATTTTTTGTTATGAGTCGGATTGATTTGAATGTAAAATTGAAGAAAACAAACGAAAAGGAGCATATAAAATATAATTAGCATCAGTTTCACGCATCATAAATATCGTCTTTATTGTTATGAAAGATGACTGAAGCCAATAGAATATTAAGATCGCTAAGCTTGTGATAGGGACAGACTCTGTTGCTAATTTTTGTAGCATGTAATATTTTCCATGAAGTACGTCTTTCTTTTGTAATAAGAATATCAAACAATGAAACAAGAGATTAAAGCACTTGAGCTTGCTCAAAATATACTGGATGGATGTCAAAATTATTCAACAAAGTTTATTTTCAATTTTTTCTGCTGCTGTAAGCATTTGAAAGAATCTACATAATAATTTGAATAGAGAAAATAATAAAATGAAAATTATTATAGAATCATCCAAGATAGAAACTACAGAAAACCAATACCTCAATTTTTCAGCATCTAGAGCATATGAATATAATGTTTTTAGACTATACAGAACAATAGAATAAACCATCTTTTATAGAATGAAGCATCCTTCAGTTCTCTGCAACGTCGAGTTTTATCAAGTATCCGTTGCTCTATCATTCTTATTTCCTTATAGTCATTTTGGAAACAATTTTATTCGAATCACTACTTAGGTTCTTTTTAACACTTAAGATAAAGAAGAAAAAAAATGAAAATAAACCTTGCCGAATAATTTTAGTATTTACTATATGTTGCATGTCGACATCACATACTATTCGTCTTCAGGACCAGATAATAATCTTTTAATAATAAAAAAAACTCTTGTCTGAACTTCAAGGCAACATACATATTCTGTAATTGTTTCTAGATTCTGATTTTTGTTTGTTTTCTGTTGAAAAGCATCTTGTATGAAGTTCAAGATTAAAAAAAAAATATTCAGTAATTAAACCAGAAAAAAAGAAGCTGAAAAGAACCTCGACTAGTCTAGAGATTATTTTTATTACAATGACATGATTCAAGGAAGCAGGTATTTCTTTTGATTTAACATCATTTATGACATTGTAGATGATTGATTAGTCTTGAATTTATAGGTTGTTAGAGTGCAATTGTAAAAAAATAGAATATCTTCGAAACGTGAGATCAATTTCACCATATATATATATATATGGTGCAGACTCCTTTTGAATTATATTATTTTAAAAGCGAACAAACTTCATACGATTTCTATTGAGTATGCTGCTACAAATAGTAGAAAAAGTCAACAAAAATAAAAGAAATTTTTTTCTAATGGATTTTTGTATCGTGTTTGCATAGTCAATATTAATGGATAAAAATTGCTTGTGAAAGAAACTGTTGCTAGATCATTATTTGTTTTCTCCATCAAATCTTGTCGGAGCTTTTTTTCTTTCTCTATTTTGCATCAAACTGTTGTTTTGTTTAATTAAAATGAACCATGTAACTAAACAGAATTTTCTGAGATTCATTTTGATCCAAAAAAAATTACGTTGTCTGTTAGTTAATAGCGTCGTATGTGCGTAAAATTTGTAATCATACGAGTAACTCAGTCCTATTTTTCTCTGATCTTAAAATGTTGTTATTGTATAGTCTGAAGTGGTATTTATGTACTGAGAACATATTGACATCGAAAAGTTATCTTTAATCATTGAAAAATTCGAAAAGCAATCAAATTAGCAAAAACTGTACATCGTTTTTCTCCTGTTTAGAACATCCGATCGAGCTGAAATTTTTCTTACATTAACTTTATATTTTTATTTCAAAACATCATGCATTTTTAGGATAGCTTTGATATTTTGACTTGATTGCTCGAAGGACAAAAATGGTGCTCACCTCAAACAGTCTAGTACCTGTAATTAAATTTTCATCTCAATCGAACATAGCATCTCGCATGAAAATTGAAGCCATTATATATTCCGGTATCTCATAGAAAACAGCATCTAGGAACTTTCAATCTATGACAACTATTGCTGTACTTATCAAGATCTATCCGATTTAAAAATCAAATTGCATGAAATTTTCGTGAGATATTTAACAAACAAGACTCAATAATAGCGCATTTGGCAATACAATTTCACTGTGGGTCTCTATTCCAATTAGTTAATTGTTTTTTTTGTGTTTCAATGAGCATGTCACGATATGGCAGAGGCTTTTTCATAAGCTCTTAATTTTTCAGCGTAAAAAAACGGACGACAAGTTCAATACCTTGAAAACATGGTCCTCTATTTATAGAAATGCTTTTTTTTTTAATACTAAGAAAAAAAAAAAATCTTCATTAAATAAACAGGCTTCGCTAAGCACTGCAACTTCACATGTTCTTTCAAACAAAAGATTTCGATTACAATTAAATGCTTCGGATAATTTTGAGAAATACAATTAGAAAATAACAGAAATCATCTAAAAATGAGGTGTCAAAAAAAAAAACATCAGACCTCGAACTATCTTTATTTCAATTTCGATTTCTTTTTAATGAAAATTTTTAATTCATCTTCTTGTATTTGTTTGATCTTATAACGAACGATCAACTGATATTTATTTATCGTTTTATATTATTTTCAAAATAAATAATTCAATGATAATAAGTTCTCTATAGATTGATATATTAGAGAGTTTTAATATGTTCTATTTTTTTTTTTCTTTCTTATTTGTTTCAAATACATGAACGATCAAAACAGAAAACAAACAGAGCGGATATAATCAGATGTTAAATATTCCCGCATGACGATAATTTTTATTGCTTAGAATCGTAATTTTTGAAAGAACCATTTGTGTTTGCCTGTTTTATATCTAAATATAAGAATAAAATTGTTTTCATTTAAAAACAACATTAAGTTATTCTTTATTTACCGATCTTCAAGTTTTTCTTTAACATCACGAAGAGCTTTTCGTCGAAGACCAGCATCACGAAATATTTCTTTATTGATTAAACTTTTTTCAAAGTTAATATCAACAGTATATCTAGAACGAAAAACAAAAAAGACAATTATTATTATTTTTTTTTTTTCATTAGTTTTAAAAATCTTGTCTTTTTACCGAGTGGCCATTAAATGATTATAATTAACAACTTTAACAAATGGTTTTATTTTATTACGACGTGCTTGTTTTTTCTTTCCCATTCGTTTAGTTACTTTTCGTGGATAACGAGCAATACCAGCAACAAGTGCATGACTATAACCTCGTTCATTACTACCTTCATCATGTGGCTAAAGAATATAAAAATTATTAGATAAATTTCATTTGAAAAAAAAAATTTTACTTTAACTATCACAGCCTTGCGACCAGCATATCGGCCTGCTAGGACAATGACAACTTTTTGGTTTTTCATTACTTTTACCATGGTTATAATTGGATGAAAAAAATCTAAAGGATAAAATTAAAGATCGTTTACTTTTTTTCAAGTAAAAGAAAACAACAATAAATAGTAAATGAAGGTATATGAATGACTGACTGACGAACAGTTACATCATTTGATTGGTTAATATTTTTGCCTGCCGGCCTCTGTTTACTAGAGCATGGAGGAACTTCAAACAGAATGGGATTGATCAATAGAAAAAACCAATCAATAAACATAATTAATTGAATACCGAATATTTTTGTGTCTGCCAAGGATAGTTAATATATATATATTTTTTTTTTTTCGTTTATTAAAATAATTAAATGCCTTCAATAGGTCCTTATTTAGCTCGATTATTTTTTTTACCAAGTTATGGGTAATAAAAAACTGTTGTTTAATTATTTGTTTATGTATTATATTTTTTGTTTTATAGGTATACTCACCTATTATCGTATATTGGTCTTCGACATAGTTATGATCGTATCGATGAAACAGTTTATATTGGTATATTACCAACAATTGCTTTACAAAAATATTTAATTCAACATGAAAAAGTTGATGCTGTTATATCAATGAATGAAGATTATGAATTAACGTAAGTGTAGTTTTCATCAATTCTTTCAATATTAATATATAGAATTCAGTACGATTTTTTAGAATTTCTTGATTTTTTTTTTTTTTTTTGAATAAATTAAGAATGCAAGAAGGATATTGAGATTTGATGCAATATAGTTTTATCGGGTAATCTCAAATATGTTATTAATTTTGCTTGTATTGTATATCAAAAGTGAAAAAGATGCAAACTAAATGCAATGACTTAGAGATTAGACGATGAGTTTGAAGTCTTCTTGATATTATATAACCAATGAATATTTTCCTCCTATATTTTAATTATAATTTTTTTTAACATAATCATGAAGGATATGAAACCATAAAAAATATCGTAAAATGAATGAATCGAAGTTCTTTACTCTTTATCTTCCTATGAATATTTCAATTGTTAACGTTCGTTTTCAATGTATATCTCGAACCATATACTTTATGCAAATAACGAAAGGATATCTAGTACAATTTTAAAATGAAAACAATATTCTTTAACTAACGAAGGAACGTCTGAACGTATCGGGTTGCTTCTTGATCAAGGCTATATTCATGTTAGAAGTCATAGTGAGTAATGTAAAAAACTGAGTACTAAAAGTCTCTTAATAATTAAAGCAATCATTCTTTTTATAGTGATGTTGTAGGATATCAAATATTTAAATAGTGAAATTTTCACAATGATCTTATGTCATTGATAGTTTCAAATCAAAACTCGATTTACATAGGGATTTGTGGAGATCGCAGCTTTCTGTTGGAACATGTAGTAAAAATTTGATACCTCAAATACAAAGGCTTAGACAATCGAATCCTTTTAGATTTTTACATTACTCACTATAGTGTCTCACTTGAATATAGTTTCAATCAAAAAAAAAGTAATGGGATACTTCGAGACATTGTCTCGTCAGCTGAACGAGAAATATTTTGGACGAAGGCTTCAAATTTTAAAAGTAATGCTCAATCATAAATTAGCTTTAAAGTCAACACTTAAATTTCATTTCGTAAAATCTTCATCTCTTCGGACTCATGAATTATGAGAATTTTATAGTAAATGAAATGAATTCCTTATGTCACAAGAATCATACAGAAAGAAAAAAAGTTTAAACTTATCTGATGATGAGCATGTGCTTATATGAATGATTACACAAATTTAAAAATTCTTAACAATCATGATGGAATAATGTCATTCAAGGAATTAAACAAGAAAAAAGAAGTTAAATCGGATTATTCCTTCAATTTTTGCTTGAATTTTCCTAAGCATAGAAGATTGATAAGATTCTCAATGCATTATTGACATCCATTATCTCGAATCGAAAGAATCAATAAGAATTATCTCACAAAAACTTATACTCTCATCTATTCTATATATATCCCTTATTTTTGTTTCTTTTTCATTCAGATAAATGGCATAAGCGAAAATCCTTTTAGACTGTTATTAATCTAATCAAGAACTATTTCCGTTATTCATTAAATAGTTATTATAAACCTATAGTTTCATTGTTGTGTCTATTCATGAAATATCTTACTCTTTTGCTATTTAATTTCATCAAACTTATGTATAATCATTCAACCTTATCGGGATGGAGAATGCATCGAGACCTTTTCTCTCTCGAAATAGTTCGCATCTATTGATGCATACTATTTATCATTGATCTAATCAACATTGCTCTATGATTTAACACGAACAATATACCTATACGTTGTATTAATCTTTGAAAGATCAGTAACAGTTGATTAGCAATGAAAATGAATTCTATATTTCATTATTTTACTTCGAAAAAAAGAGACAAGTCTTACGAGGGAAGGTCCCCAGGTGCCACGCTCCGTTTTGAATCGGACATATGCCATTTTGTAGAGCTCAGTGAGACTAGCAAAAGCTTAAAAGGGTTCTTCCCCATGGGCCTTGGAAGTCGAGTTATGCCCTCTCTACTGAATTTTTGACCATTTTTTCGATATTGAGCAGTAAATCAAACAACAGAGTTTTGATCTGAAATTTTGCCCATAGATAGGTCTAATCGTCTTTAGAACATCCTGAAAATTTCAGCTGAAAAGAATGTTCCTTTGTCGAGATATTGAATTATTAAAAAATCATCGCTTTTACAGACAAGGCGCAAAAAGCCAACCTACTTGAATATCCAATATCTCGATAAAGGAACATTCTTTTCAGCTGAAATTTTCAGGATGTTCTAAAGACGATTAGACCTATCTATGGGCAAAATTTCAGATCAAAACTCTGTTGTTTGATTTACTGCTCAATATCGAAAAAATGGTCAAAAATTCAGTATAGAGGGCATAACTCGACTTCCAAGGCCCATGGGGAAGAACCCTTTTAAGCTTTTGCTAGTCTCACTGAGCTCTACAAAATGGCATATGTCCGATTCAAAACGGAGCGTGGCACCTGGAGACCTTTCCTCGTTAGTCTGAAAGATGTAGAGTTACCTTGAACGGCTATCTATACCTCGCTTATACGTCCCATCTCGATTTAAATCAAGTCATTAAACAACTACTCAAGGATATGTTTATATATATATTTTTTTTTTTTTCAGATACGTATCTGATCCAAATCTTTGGACTAAACATGAAATTCAACATTTACGTTTACCTACTGTTGATTTTTCAAATCCTCAAGTTGAAAATCTTTTTCATGGTATTGAATTTCTTCGTACAGTACGTAATGAAAAAAAACGAGCATATATACATTGTAAAGCTGGTCGTCAACGAAGTGCTAATTTAGTAGCTTGTTATTTAATTGATACATATGGTATGACACCAGAAGAAGCTTCTCGTCATGTTCGTTCAATTCGACCAAGTACAATATTTGGTGTACGTGAAATGCAACGTTTACATGATTTTGTTGAACATTTACGAGAAGAACATAATAAAAAACAACAAGAACAAAATGAAAAAAATAAATTAACAACATAAATTTTTTTTGTATTTTGCATATGTAAAAAATATTTAACAAAACAAAATCATTTTATTTTCGCGTTTTTTTTTAGATGAGTATTCTATCACCGAAGAAGAAAAATGTTTATCTTGATAAAATAAATGAAAATTTAATATCATTTTTTCGATTTATTGAAAAATTTAATCAAATTTTTAATGAATTAAGTCAATTAAGTAATGGAGCAACAGTTCATATTAATGATATTGAACGAATTCTTGGAAATAATGATGATGATGATAATAATAATAATAATAATGAAGATGAACATGAAAATGATGAACAACAATTAATATCTTATCATGAAAGAGAATCAATGGCTGGTGAAAAATTATGTCAATTAAATGAGAATTTAAATATTTCAATGCATGACATTCGACAATCCTGGTAAGAAGATTATCTTATTTACATATATATATATATATACATACACATTAATAGAACAATCTACTGTATAACATCATAGAATTGTTTTTACTATAAATAAGAATGTATCTCGTGTCACTAACGAGTTTTTTTTTTAAGATAAACAATAAAATATCAATTCTAACTTGTCATGTCACGCATGGAAATAGACACATCTGTCTATTTGAATTTATGAAGATAAGAAGCCAACCATTCTTATTGTAAACATCAGCACTCATAAGCAATTATATACCGAAAAATGATGTATACGAAAACTTTAGTTTAGTGAATATGTACTCGATCTTAGGTTTATTATTGAGTGATAATTTTCCTATGCAGATCTTGTATTATAATAAGAATTCGATCTTGGTATATTTTTTAAAAGCAAAAAAATATATAAACGTTCACACGTAGTCTTCTAAAAAATTATTCCGAAGCTGGCACTCAAGAACATCAGTCCTAGTTTTGTATATGTTAAAAAAAAGGTTGCTTGCTCATGAAAAAGAGATCAAGACTTGAACTAACACCGTCTTTAAGCCAAAACCACGATTAGCACAAAATCTTGACTAGGTACAGAAATAAATGAAAGGGACATTAAAAATCCCTAATTAGAATAGATGAATTTACGATATGTTACTTGTTCTTCATTTTTAAACATTAGCTGAACACTTTTCGGTTTCTATGAAAATCAGAGATGAGTAACTACAACTTTGAATTGGAATAGGATACAGTGGAGTTGCCCATTTCTAGAGAAAATTTTCGAAAGATATTGTATCTGAAGAAACTTTTCTTAGAAATTATTGTCTAGGACTGTTTGGTCGAAACTATTGAGTCTGTGGAAATTCCTCGAGTTATTTTTTCGTTCGAAGGAAGTTTTCCATTTTTGACAGCAGTTTCTATACCTAGTCTGTGAAGATACAGAAAACATCTCCATTAACACACTCGCAACGAATTGTTCAATCACTATTTTTGAGAATGATATCCATCTGATATGATTTCAGTTGAACAAAAAATCGAAAGTATCAGCCGGTAGTGGCAAAAGTCTGGTGTTATACTGATATTAGTACGAATGAACGTATAACATGGGATTAAATAATAAATGACGAGGGCCAATCCTAATGTCATTTGTTGTTGCTGATTTCTAATAATAATTCAAAATTTATCGAAATATGTTTAACAAAATCACTTAAAAATGATTTAAAGTTAAATCTATCTCCATTCATTTCAATCTTTAGGAATACACTTGAAAAACAAGGTGCAGCAATATTAAAATTAGTCCATCAATTACCTAAACTTATTCGTCTATTTCTGGATACAACTAAAAATGATGCTGATTTTAGTGATTCATATTTTCGATCTGAAATTACTAATCTTAGTGATCAATTTTCAATTATTGGACAATTCTATTACGAATTGTAAGATAATAAATTTTATTTTATTCATACAAAAATTTTAATACATTCTTTGATTTTTTGTTTTTTGTTTTATAGATGTCTTGAAATTCAAATCAATTTTCTTGATTTATCAAATATGAAAAAAATAAAACATTTAGCAAGTATTTTAGATTTACTTTCATCTCGATCAAGTTCGATTTCAGGTAGAAATCGAATAAGAATGTTTTTGTTTCAAACTTTTTTTTTCTTCTTTTAGTACCTATTCAAATTGTTCGACAAATACAGACAAAACTTAATTGATTTTCTTTTTCAGATGTAATATTATGACAAATTTTATAGTTAAACATTTACGTACACTTGCTATTACAAGTGTTACATTAACGTCGTCCTATTTCTTCTATAATCATGATCATCGACAAATACCAAATCGTTTATTTTCTTTATTAAAAGTCGAAGCTGCTGATTATGTAAATGAAAATTAATTTCCTTTTTTGTTATTAGTAATCAAATATTTATTTTAAAGGAACGAAGAAATGCAAAAGTAGCGTCTAATCGAAAGCATTTTATCGATCAAAAATATAAAAAAATTGATGACGACGATGATGACGATGATGATGATGACGATGATAAAGATGAATCAAAGAAAACTCATGAGACTGTAACAAATATCCGTGAAAAACGTTTTCGGGATTTCGCTTCTGTGGAATATAACGGAGAAATATATATGGTAAGGCAGTGTAATATTAATAATTCTTTGTTTTTTAATGATTTATTTTAGACACCAGTGGATTTTCTTGAGTCAGTTATTGAAGAACGACCAAGACGTATAAATGAATGATTGAATACGAAGTTTTTTTTTTCTAATTCTTTTTTTTTGTATTAGCTCGTGTTGGTCGTCGACGTTTCACTGATAGTTTAGTGCAATCTATTTTATATAGTACACCACCAAAACATCGAGGATCAAAAAGATTTTTTCGCAATCTTGAAGATGCTGGTTTGATTTATAATAATTAAATTTATATAATTTTATTTTGTTTTTTTTTTCTTCTTATTTCAAGGTCTTATTTCATTTTCGGAATATTTATTTTTATGGGTGATTTTAACAAGTAAAAATCAATATTTTAAATCAATAACATCTATTTACTATTTGTTATTATTTTAGAACCTCATACACAATTTGAAATTGCATTTGCTATGTTTGATACGGATGGTAATGTTTAAATTTTTTTATTATTGAAGAGTAGAATGAACATTATTTAAGAAAAGTGTGAAAGGTTTAGCACTAAATATTTACTCATTTTTCGGTCACTTAAAGACAAATGTTTATAGCCAGAAGTCGTTAGCTAGAGAATAGACTTTCTCACTGATTCTGAATACACAATTAATGCCACAATTATTCAACAAGGCGTGTTTTCAATTTTTTTCGTTGTTTCCTATGAAAATCAGCATTGGTCAAATAATCTCTGTTTGAAAAATTGCTTTTAAAAATATTCATAATCTGTCATGCTAAAGTAGATTGCACGTTTTGCTCTACTAAACCGATCAAAGTAAAGGCTGAGTCAAAAGTTTCTAGAAAAAAAAATGCTTGAATGCATTTGAAAAGAGTGAGAAGTAGTGTAGTAGAATAAGAATATTGTGCTCTTTTACAATATATGTTTAGGATTAGTCTGCAACTTTCTACTATTAAGCTATAAATGAATCTTGAAAAGGTTCACAAGCTTTTTTGAAGGTAAAAAAAAGTCTTAAATAGAACTTGTTTCATATGTGCTACAAAATTTTCTCGAATGTATTGCTACATAAAGAAAATGATTCTCTACAAAGCGGTAAGTTTTTTGCAAACTATCGAGGTGTATTAAAAGCTTTTACAAAGTCTATCACAAAATTAACTAAAACTCTCAATTATGGTATCATTTTATAGAGTAAAGACCATTTTCAAATATTATATATGTACGAAAATTTATTTGGTATTTCAGGAAGCAGACTTGTCTTCAGAAAAATAACATTTTTGTCTCTTCAAAAATTTTCTTGAGCCCTTTCAAGATTTATTCCGAAAGAGCAGAAAACGCTCAGTCTAATAAAACTACTTCTTTCTTTTTTTACAACAAACTTGAATACGCAAAATATGATCAAATATTTTGGTCCTTTTGAAATCAGTTGTCTGTTAAGTGATTAAAACATGAACGAATTTTTTTGTACCAAGACTTTCGTGCTGTAGGTCATTATTTTGAAGTCCTCAGAGAATGACGTTGGTGTTTGCATAAGCAATCAATTGTCGAGTAAATTAATAATAACAGAAAAAGGAGAAATGCGAACGTACAATAGTTGCTTAAAAATAATAAAGTTAATAGTATAAAGACAAGTGTAACATATATCACTTCAAGCGAATTTTCTTTTTTTTCTTTTCTAGTAACTAAAATTATGCTGTTCGTTAAGAAACTTTAAGTGACATGCAAATTTTCTTTATATATGATAAGTGTCTTTTAAAATCATATTCTTTCGTTCAATGAAAGTCTTGGACGAAATGTTCATTGTATATCATATTTGTGATTGATCATAGTTTTTATTTTCTCTAATATTTTTTCAAGAGAGTCTTTCTTTTTATATAAATGATTAGTAGATCGGTAAATAGATGCGACAGATGTTTTGTCACCAATTCTCATTACATGACAACATTATAATAAAAAAAAAAATCATTCGGCAAACCTTTGCTTGAGTATACGACTTGATGCTATAAACACTATTCACAGGAAGTTCTTGTTATATACAGCGGAAATGAACAAGGTTTTTTTAATTTTTATCAGCTAACAACGGAAATTTCTTTTTTTTTTAATCATTATTAGTTATGCTTAATATCAATATTGTTTTTCTATATTTAGGTAATCAATTGGTTGATAAACATGAATTTCTTGTTGTATGTTTGCGATTCTTTGTCTTTTTTGTAATATTTCATATAATTTTAATCTAGCTTGGAAAAGTCATGAGTGATAAACGTATGATGAATCGACCAACAGCAAAACCAATGTTAAGTGAACATTTGACTTCTCCAAATGTAAGTTTAATTAATATATGGAATGCACAATATTTCAAAAGTTCGTCGGAAAAGTTAACGTAAATATCTCTTATACAATTCAAAAGATTTAGATATATAAGAAATAAAGTTTCTGACGTTCAGAGAATTTTTATACTGGTTATAACCCCTATGAAAAATATATATGGCACTGATGAACATTATAGTTCGTAAGACAAACCTATGTGAATTTTCTTTTTAAACTCAATTTGATGTTGTTTCCGGTGCGCTTCGGTTTTTTTGTAATCAATAATTTTCATCGCTGTTTTCTTCATACTTAAAACTGATCCAGTTTTTTTTAGGTCTAGATCATTCCTTGACTACGTGGTATTCTAGTATGTTCAACTCAGTGCCACAATACAAGTGAATACCAAGATGAAACTCTCTCAATGTTGTCTTCTAAAATAGTCTATTTGATAGGGACTAGTATATTGACGATATTGTAGTAATATTCCACTGTATTATTGAAAATTTTGATGTATCAATAATCAGCACATCATGCCGAATGAGCTGATCTAAATAACTCCTCCATAAATGGAAAAGTTTTTTTTTCAAACTTATATTGCAAGTATCTAAGTTGGATTTATGCATGAAGCTCAAGAAGAATCTATAATTCTCTCATGTTCATTTCAAAAACGAATCTTTCGTATTCATGTAGCTTGCTTCCGAGATTCGGAGATCAAAACTTTTTTTTTTCGTTTATCAAGAATGCTATATTAATTATTGGTACATAAAAATTTTCAATACGACTGTTGAGTATTATTAAATTATCCTTCATATTCGAACTTCCATCGTATAGATAAATAGACTATTATAGGAGATAATCTTGCAAGTTTGCAATGGACCTCTGCTGTTCCGAACAATGTTATTGATGAAACTTTTAGAACTTGATAGCATGCCATTTTTGAAAAGGTTTCACTGGTTCTGTGATAGAGAGTTGAACTTACTAGAGTATCAAGTAGTCAAAGGATAATCTAGGCCCCAAAAAAAAATAGATCAGTTTTTCATATAAAGAAAACAATGATGAAAGTTATGAATTATTAAAAATCGAAGAGCAAGTGCAACTGTATCGAACTTAATTCAGAAAAAAATAACTTTCATAAGTTTATCGTAAGGACTAAAATGTCTATGAATACCATATATATTTCTCATGGGATGTAACGAGTATAGGGATCTTTCGAACATGAAAATGGGCTATTAAATTTGGCAAGAAAGTTTCATCATCTATAAAACTATTTTTATTCTAATATTTATAAACACAAATATTTATCTGAAAATATACCAAACAAAACTTACACACTATAACAAAAAAATCAATTAAATTATTTGAATTATATAATAGATATTTACGTTAACTTTTTTGATGAACTATTTGAGACACCATATATTTTATTTTTCTTCATTACTAAGTGTTCATTTCACGTAAACAACACTGCTTATATTTTTGTGTGCATGTATATGTGTTTAGCTTTTAAATATGTTCTTCAAAAGTCACAAGAAAAATACAATAAAAACATCAACTAGAAAAGATTTAGTTGTCGTACGTATGAAAATGTGTATTATGTATTCTTATATATAAATAATTGCAATAATGAATGGAAAAAAAAACTTAGTGCACGATGCAAGTCTTTCTTGCTTGATGTTAACCATGAGATGGCTCTGAAAAGTTTTATATACTAAATCTTTAAATTGAATGAGTTCATCGATTTCTATTCTTTTTTCTATTACAGGAAAGTGAAGGCATGTATACAACGTTACTTATACATTTTTTTGGAAAAAATGGTCGAGATACATTAAATTATACAGAATTTAAACGGTATGATAAGAAAAAAAAAAAAGCAAAACATATATTATATATCAATAAGAATTTTATTTGTATAGATTTATGGAAAATCTTCAAACGGAAGTACTTGAACTTGAATTTACAGAATTTTCACATGGTTTTAAAACAATATCTGATTTGGATTTTACTGAAATACTTTTACGCTATACAGATTTTGATCGTGATACAAAAAAGTCTATTTTAAAGAAAGTTCGAAGGTCATCAGATCGATCAGATGTACGAAAAATAAGACGAATACGTTTTTCCATTTATTTTTTTTTTCTGATTTTTCAACATAGGGTATTACATTTGAACAATTTCAACATTTCTTTGCATTTCTTAATAATCTTGAAGAATTCAGTATTGCTATGCGTTTTCATCAATTATCAAATAAACCAATTTCACAAGGTAAGTATACAAAATCAAACCTTTCATTCGGCCTCGACTGTGAATTTATGCATTTTAAGATAAGATATTTATGGAAGATCTAATAATCTTTAAACTTATTCAGTTAAATCACACTTGAAGTTGTCGTTTAGATATTTGAGATATGTTAACGATCAAAGCATTCTTTTGATGCTTGTCTTATCATCTGTCTTTTTAGTATATTACTCTGCAAAATATAATCTGATTTAGCTTCTCTTTGAGAGAGAATAACTGGTTTTCTTTAAAAAATCACAAGCAAAACTTCTCTCTTACATAGACAACGTGTTCCTTGAAAAAATCATCCTGCTTGCTCTTTCTAATCGTATGATCTGTACAAGATTGTAATGTTGACAATTAGTAGTGCCAACAGGAGAACTAAAGAAAGAACATTTTCAGGTGTCAAATCGATTTTCAACCGAAACGATGTTTCGTTTGATGAGTAATAGAAAAATCAAGAATGGTTTGATTTTTCGAGCCTTAATCCTTGAAATATCGAAATCATACTGGGTTTTTTCACAGAAAGTTATGGGTAACCCAATGCCATTTCGAACTCAAACTACTTTACAAAATCCAAAAACGTGTACTAAAAGCTTTTTAAGAATGCTACGTGTTCTTTATAGGACATAGCATTAGTACTTATGTCCAGACAACTTAGTTATACTCATCTCGAGAGTCGAAAGATCCACTCTACAGAATATTCTGACAACGGTCTGCTTGTATACTAGCTCGATTGCAATAAAGGTTTTCGATAATTATGAGTTTTGGTTAAACAACAGAGTCTTAACACGAAGTGAAAAATGAAGTTTGAAATATATTTTGTTTGAAAACATTCATTTGAAGAAATAGAGCTTTTAACATAGATGAATGAATTAACTGAAACATTATCAAATATACTTAGGATTATCCAAAAGTTCTGGCGTCATTATCTTATTTTCTTATAGAAAGCTTAAAACAATTTTCTTTTTTTATGAACAGATAGAACGTCTTTCGTTCTATTTTTCTATGCTATTTGATCATTATTCAACTAATATCATAATAATAAAATTTCCAAAAGAACTGTTTTTGTTGAAAGCTAGCTGGTGATATATTAGATCATAACGGGTGTGGCATAAAAAATGGGACACTTTTGTATTTCACTTTATTGTCACTTAATACGTTGTATGAAAAAAATAAAATATACCACAAGATGCAGCGTGAAAAGCTCTACAATTTACATAAGATCACTTATTTTATAGTTGCACTTTTTGTTTTCAAAATGGACAAAACTCTGAGCGTGCAAATTTCGACGCTCCGCAAAAGAAATTTTTTATTGATAAAAGACGACTTCGTTTTTTCCTATCTCATCTTTTTGTAATTGTTCTTTGTAAGTTATAGAGCTTTTCATGCTGCATCTTGTAGTATATTTTGTTGTTTTTAATAAAACATATTAGGTAATAAAAAGATGAGATAAGAAAAAACGACTTCGTTTTTTACCAAAAAAAAATTTCTTTTGCGGAGCGTCGAAATTTGCACGATCAGAGTTTTGTCCATTTTGAAAACAAAAAGTGCAACTATAAAATAAGTAATCTTATGTAAATTGTAGAGCTTTTCACGTTGCATCTTGTGGTATATTTTATTTTTTTAATACAACGTATTAAGTGATAATAAAGTGAGATGCAAAAGTCCCCGACCCGTTAAGATCTAATGCCATCAGTTAGTTTTCAATAAAAACAGTTCTTATCGAACTTTTATTATTATGATCTTAGTTGAATAATGATCAAATAGCATAGAAACATAGAACGAAAGACGCTCTATCTGCTCATAAAAAAAGAAAATTTTTTCAAGCTTTTTATAAGAAAAAAAAGATAACGACGATAGAACTTTTGGATTGCCCTAAGTAATTTTATCAAGAAATGAAGAACAACACGAAAATGGAAGATTTTAAAATTCAGAAGACAAAAATGAATTGATAATGTTTGGTTTTGTTTATTGCTTAACTTGCGTGTTTTTATTCGATTAAATGACAGAAAAAAAAGACTTTATAGTCCTACATTTATCAAACTGTATTTATAAAGAATAGATTCTTTTTTTTTAATTCGCTAGGTATTGATATCGGAGCTTAGAGCTAGCTTTAATTGTTAGAAAAGAGAGTGACTTTGTCGAAGTGGTTTTCTATAAACAACCAATAGAAAACCAGAAGACAAACTCGTGTAGCTCAGGAAGCTGAATACTGCGACATCACTTTTACAAATGATCATCAGTTGTTTGCAACAACCTTGAAAAGATTCCGGGGGTTCTTAGCTTCTCTTCATCGCCCTCCCTCCTATGGCATCGCTACTATTGACAATATATTTACGCATGAGATATTATTACTCTGAAAACAATATTAACAATGCGTCTTCTAACCAATTTATTATAAGGATAAATTAACAGATACACCAGAAGACATGTTGCTCTAAAATTTTTTTCAATATCGCCATGCTCTAATATATTTTTTTAAAGGTTCACGATTCAATATTCTACAAGTGGGTATAACAATTTTAACTATAAAGTGTTAAGCAGAAATATTAAATAGATAATACTATGAAATATCAGCGTGCTAAACAATGTAGCATTTTTTTCTAACTTTTTACACATATGGCAATATGAAAGAATGTGTTAAGGAGTAAAACTGAGTACATTCTCTTTTTCATGATATATGCTAAAGATCGTCTTAACCATGTCTTATGTTTTTGATGCAAACATATAAATTCAGCAAAATTGAGTTAAATGCATGTAAAAACTTTGCTTATTTCGATAGTATTTTCTAAGTTTTTTTGATTAACATAATGTAGTAAAACTTGTTATACGTTGTTTTAGAAAATTGAATTGTAATCTTTAAAATAAAAGATTAAGGGATGGCGATACACCTTGATAGTGAGAGCGAGCAAATACTTAGAGGACCATTTATTCTTGTGCGTTCGTTGGGTGAAAATTTTATTATTAAGAATAGATATACAGGCTTATTTTCTTTTTGATTTTAGCGGAATTTCAACGAGCTGTAAAAATTTCAACTGGTTTTGAACTTGAATCAAATATAATTGCTCTTATATTTCGAATTTTTGATGCAGATGGTGATCAGCATTTGTAAGAAAAATTATTTTCTATTATTATCAATTTGAAAACAAACTCACTTTGTCTATTTTTCAGAAGTTACGATGAATTTATGTCTGTTATGAAAAATCGACTTTCTCGTGGTTTTCAGGTTTATTCTTTCTTAAAAACTATTTGAATATAAAATTGTTTGATTCTTTTTTGAAGACATCTAATCCTTCTGATGTATCAAGTTCAAAGTTTGATCAATTTAAACACTGTTTTCGTGAGCGAGCTAAGTAAGAGAGCTTGTGATTGCTTTAGATAAAAAAAATTCAATATTAATTTGTGATGAAACGCTTTATTATTATTGCATGCTTACAAAAAGCTAATATTTTTGCATACTTCATATATTTAGAGAATACTGATCAATCAACATTTAATTAATTCTTTAATTTTACACATGTAATTTTAAACTCAATTATAATTCCATTTTTCTACATACATGTCTTGGCTCAAGCGCAAAAAAAAATCAACAAATACATTTTTTCTTCTCATTTATTCTTATACATTTATATATTCTGAATTTCTTTAGATCTACAATCATAGAAGAAAAACTACGACTTGATTTATGGAAAAGAGAACTTTTTCTGTAGTTTAGTGTATTTTTTTTTTATATGCATGATTATTTTTATGATATAATTTTCTGTTTGGATTCAATATATACATGCATCTATATACAAATCTTTATATTAAAACAATTAATTTTCAATTATTTATTTTCAGATGTACACATCTCTTGAAGATGGATAATGAATTAAATGTATTTCGCGAACCGTTGAGTGACAGAACGTAAGAGAAGAAAAAAAATCTTTAATATTATATTTCATTTTGTTTTTAAAATCTTTTAGTTCTATTGAACAACAACAACAACAAGAGACAAACATTATTGTTGATAATTATTTATCATCATCATCAACTTCATTATCAGATATAAATGATGAACATAAACAAAAATCAATTGAAACACAAGTAACAATTATTAAAAAGAAACGTACAAAATGGCATGTATACGATACAGTAGCCAAATTTTTATTGAAAAATCGTTTTTATTTAACTGCACTTGAATTTTATACTGAATTATTAGAAAATGGTTATGATTTACCACGTTTACGTGAATATTTTTCTAATCCAGCTAATTTTGAAGGTTCATCAATAACATCAATAAATAAACAATCAACATTTATTCGTAGTCTTAGTCATTATGCTGATGATTCTGTATCACTTGGAGGTGGTGCTGGTGGTGCTGGAAATGGTGATTTTCTACCTCGAACATCAAGTAGTCAAACATTTGATTCAACATCTATTGATAATATAACACGTTATTCGGAAGATATTGATTGGAATAATGGATATGGTAATGGTGGAGCAATGACAAGCGGTAGTGGAATTGGTGAACTACGTGTTAATGATGAACGTGTTGCTGTTTTAGAATTCGAATTAAGAAAAGCACGAGATACTATACAAGAATTAAGACAAACATTAACTTATGATTCAGCCGATGAACAACAACACCAACAACAAAATAAAAAACTAGAAGATAGAAATGGAAAATATCAAGGTGAATAGAAATTCATTTGTATATCATTTTTTTATAATTGTGATCATTATTTGATATACGTATATATAAGGATGTACATTGAGTTTGAATCGTTTCATAAAAGTCATTATCTGATAAAAGAATGATAATGAATTTGCTAAGAATTTTCCATTATAGGCAGGATTTTCTAGTATTGAAGATGTAGTGTTCAATCTATGAACATCTTTGATTACAGAAAAATTTACGAGAAAAATTATTATATTGTTGTTTGGTATTCACTAAAATTAGTTTTTTAGAATATTGATATTCTATTGATCATTTTACTTAATATTCTAACATTGATTATATTGACTTCTAATATTAATAGAATAAGCTTTTATGATTGAGGCAATCGAAATGACGATTTCTCTATATGCTAACTGATTTGAATAATACATAACAAAAAAATATTATTGCTTCTTTGACTAAAGTTTACAAATAATAACTTTAAATATATTAATATATTGTAATATACACAAGTAATAAGATATAACTTGTAATCGAATACTTTAATTAGTCTTTGTATTCTTTTTCAGTTCATTGGGACTTCCTTTTTGTGAGACGTACATATTTTTTTTACAGAATATTATGAGCGTAAGTTTAAGTCGGGGCTTTTGTAAAGCTTTTCTTCCCTAGATCTTAACAACTAAAGGCAAAAGGCAACGGTCGTTATATATGTGTCAAAGATAACAAACATCAGATTCTTTCTTCAGTGTTTCTTAGTAAGAAAAAAAGACAACGAACGGTAATAGCAGCAAGGCTTAGACTGCTCTAGAGTATCACCAAAATTTGAATGTCTGAAATGCATTTATCAATGTTTTAAATGATGCGATTTTTAATATCTGTCTAGATAAACCAAAAACTAGAGTGGAACTAAAAAAAGAAGACAATTAGTTTCCTGGGTTGCCAATGGTTCTTGGAAAACAATTATAGTCTGCTATAGATTTCCATTTGACTCATTTTGTATTAGCAAGTGTTCAGAGAGTTTGTAGATAAGATGTTTGTTCATTTTTGACCTGAGAGAATGTATTTCTGAAGAGTTCAGATTAGGACGTTGTGCTCTTTTCGAACTTGAACTTAGAAATATTGTGTCTATTTTTGCTTAATAATAGTGAGAGAGCTTTTGTAAGGTCTGAAAATAATGAGCAAGCGGTTTTTATTTACCTTATAAATCCTTTTTTGGAACATGCTAAAAACTATTAGAGTCGATCTTTTTTGCAGAGCAAACTAGTTCTCTACAGTGAAGTTACAAGGATTTTTTTTGCAAGAACTCCTTTTAACGTAAAACGATTGTCGATCTTTGAAAAATGAATATTTACGAAAAGCAACTAATTCAAGTGCTTTATCAAAAAACAAAAACAATGATTTCTAAGAGTATATTTTGTAGAGTGGTTTCTGATCCATAAGCTAGTATAGAAATAAAGATCATCATTTCGTGTGTCGAATCTTAATCGTGAAAATACAATTTTCAGAAGAAGTTTTTATTAGATGACTAAACGAAAACGACATATTGAGTATTTTGTTTTGTTTCAGTTTATCCATTCTCTTCGAATTCAACACAACCATTAATTCCATCAGGATTAACTGCTCGTCCATTTGAACGTCGTGCATTAAATTATTTAGTTAATGAATATCTTCTAACAAATAATTATAAATTAACTAGTGTAACATTTGGAGAAGAAAATGATACATCAGATTTAGAAGATTGGGATAATGTTGGTTTAAATTGTTCACGACCACCTGATTTAACTCAATTATATCGTTGGTATTGTCATCAATTATGTATTGAAGATGAAAAACCGAAAAAAGAAGATTTTACAATGTTAGTTAATTTTGATGAAAATTTTCATGATGAATATGAAAATTTAAAAATATCAGTAAAACAAATGGTATGTTTATTTCTTTAATTTCTATTGTTAAATAATTTATTATATTTTATTTATTAGCAACTTGATCTAATTGAATATAATAAACGAATAAATCATATAGAAGAAGAAAAATTAAATCTTAATGAAGAAATTCTTTCATTACAACATGAAAAGAAAAATCTTTTAATACAATTACAACTTTTACAAAATCGTTTAACATCTGATGAAACATCAAATACAATGAAAATGGAAGATACAATACAATTAAATTCATCTAGACATTTACCACAAGTTTATCGACGTGCATTTGAACGTCATTTATTATCTTATCATATTAATGATGACAAACAAGATGAAGAAATTGAACTAAATCATGATTCTGAACAAAAAATATTAGAAGATGTTATTCATGAATTAAATACACTTTCACTTGATCAGAAAGATTTTTTAGATTTAATTGTACGAACTATAATAAAAATAAATTTAAATTTAAATGGATCGAAAAAATTAGTAAGTTAACTTAATTAGAAGATATTCTATTTAGATTAACATGAGAGAATTTTCGATAAAAATAAAAGTCTAAAAGATTCATCTTGACTCTCTAAATTAGTTATTAAGTGATCTAATATTTCGCTTTGATAACCTTCTAATAGAACATTAATCATAGTTTGAAGTAAATTATTCATTTTATCAGTGTCCATAACATAAAATGTATAGACTACTCATGTTCATTAATAACTTACAGATTTTAGTTTGAATTTCTTGGCCGACATCTTCTAGACTTAATGGAACAAGAGGAAAACATAAAAACTCTGTGGTTCAGCGCATTTTAAACTTATGTCAAAGCTATCGTCTAGAGCTTCTTAACTACTTTAGATTTTTTCAATCATTTTCCAAACGATAGATTGTTTTGTTTGATCTTAACATGAGAACTTTGCTACTCATAATTGTATTAGAAATGGGAAGGCTTTTTACAGAAAAGAAAGTAGAGTAAACACAATAAATCATAAATAACTAGGAATAGAACTGTACTTCTGGGCATTCTTCTGTTAACCATCTGAAATATATCAATCTCCAGTAATAACATAATGACGAGTGAAAAACAAGAACAGCATACGTAAACAACTTCGAGAAAAAGATAAATGTATTAAAGTTTGTTTTGCTAAAAATTAAAACGATAAATAAGTGCACAGAAGGCTCACACTTACATTTGGTACAAAACCTCTTAGTAGGGAACATGTTCAAGTGTGAATTTTTGTTTTCAATCAGCTTTATGTCAGTTTTTAGAACACTTAACATAGTTTTTCCACAGATTTTTCATTAGTTTTGACAAAAATCTAGTGTTAAAGTTTTTAAGGCTAACAATTAAACTCAAATAAAAAATTATATTTTCAATATAACTGCTTCCAGTCATTTTTCTGAACTAGGAATCTCAACATAACTTTTCGAAGACAGTCTATGGAAAGAAACATATTATGTCATCATGATCTACAAAGTGACATTAAGCTGATTGAGAACAGAGACAAACACTTGGGAACTTTCTCTAGTTAGAATCAAGAATATTCCAGTCTTCTAACTACTTTACCGTATGACACACTACTTAGCTTTAAACTTAATAACCCTTTACGTTTCCTACAAATATGATTACCTGTAGCCCTGGAGAAAAAAATCCTGTCTGACTTAGAGTTCTCATGCTGAATCGCTGGAGCTATCCATACATGACTGGTGGTATTGAAGTTTGTATATAGTACCTTGTCTATTCGAGTCAAACAATATAGTTCCTTCAGGCATGACGGCTCTGTTAGAATAAAATTGAATATATCATTTTGTAAGAAGTTTATTGTACTTTCATAGTGCAGACTGTTCAATTTTTTTTTTACATATCGCTCGTCTAATCAAACTTTATTGCGGATGACTATTCTATAAATAAGAATTGATAATAATGGTATCTTTCTTCTTTATTTTTAGGATCTTGTCCCATTAATAACTTACACATCCATATTACATCCGACAAATGATGAACGTGATCGTTTATTAAAAACATTATTTAATCTATATAAAAATCCTTCGTACCAACAACGACAAGTTTTATTACATGCTTGTCTTTGTTTTGCTAAACAAAGTGGTCCATTACGTGTACATGCTGAATTATTACCACAATGTTGGGAAAATCTAAATAATAAAATTGATGAAAGACGTTGTCTTGTTGCTGAAGCATGTGGAATATTAACACCACATTTGCCAGTAAATTTATTGATTTAAAAAATAAATCAATAAAAAAAAAAAAAAATTTTTGTTTGTTTTTCTATAATAGAAAGATATTCGTGTTAGTTTGATATTTTCAATGTTACAACAAATGCTTAGTGAAGATAAATGCGACCAAGTACGATGTGTTTGTAGTAAAAGTTTATCTATGGTTATTAATGAAATAGATGATGAAACTCGACTATCTCAAGTAAAATTTATGATTATTTTATTTAAATAATTTTCTTTTGTTTATTTTTAAAGTGTATTGAATTACTTGATCGATGTTTATTGGATACAACTGATGTTGTACAATCAGCTAAAAAATATTTATTACCGTCCATTGCTATGTGGTGTCTTGAATTAAATAAGATTTGTTCTGTTTTAATTGAACATTATTTAATTAAAATTGAATCTCTTGTTCAAGTTAGTTTACTTAAGTATTTTGTTATTAGAAAACAAAAAAGGATTTTTTTTTTTTTAATCTTTAGAATATTCAAAATTCATCATCAATTGATAATCAACGTTTTATTCAATTCATTCATATATTGACTGATTTAGTAGTATTTATTTTTGCATCTGCTTTGAAAAGTATGACATTAGATAATGATCTATCTCAAGCAATATCATCAACTCGAACATTACCAGATACAATATCATCAGAATTTTATCAATTAAATATGATTTTATCACCAAATAGTGAAAAATTACTTAATCATTATGATCAATGTGCCATTAATGGAGAATTTCCATTTACAGATCAGATTCAATTATATTTAGATGCTTTGTAAGATAATAAGAAACACAATAATTAGATATGTTTAAGTTTCTTTTTTGTATTTTTAGTTTAAAACGTTCATTTGATACAATGGCAGTTATTGATATAATGAATGGTAAATTAATTCATGCATGTAGTGAATTTATTAAAATGATTAGTCGATATTTTGGAAGAAATTTTTGGAAATTAAAAGTAAATAAAAAAGAATTATTCATTTTTTTTTTACATTAATCATAGTGTTTACTAAAGAAATAAATATTCGATCGATATTTGGACGGGTTAGGAAAGAAGAGCATCTCTATTGTTCGGGTACCTTGCAGTATCAGGTGCTGACCGAAACTCGTCGATTTTCAAAGTTCTCGGATCTGCTTCATAGAAAATTTTAAGATCCAGAGCCAACAGAAAACCAGCAGAAAGTTAATCTGAGACAAATAGCCGTTAATGACTTCGATAGGACAGGCGAAACATATTGTTTTTAATATTTTTCAATAGATCAAACCACTTTATGTTACAATAAATTCGCCTACATCACACGATGAAATTCGACGTAAGGATATAAAATCTTAGGAATATTTTGTTTTCTATACATTATTTTTTTTAGCAACAACGTTTGTTCTTTATGCGACTGGTGTATTATGTTCTTGGACAACAGAACAAGAACGAGCCGAATTAACGCAATATATATATGACGCACTTCTTCTTGTTGCTAATCAAAAATTATCGATACATACTTTACAAGCAATGTATGCAGAAATTGGGTAAATGATAAAACTATTTCTCATATTTTCTTTATTTATTCAAATTTTAAATAAAACTTTTAGATCTGATACACATTTTCAAGATATATTATTAAGTATTCTGCGAGATTCTCTAACAAATACAAACCCACAAGTTCGTTTATATACTCTACAATTATTTAATGTAAGTTCTGTTTGTTTTTTGTTTGGTTAATTAAAATAAAATTTTTATATTTTAATTCAGATTACATTAACATTTGTTGATCATTCGACGATATCCCATAAGATTCTGCCAGCTTTGATTACACTTGCATCTGATGATGATATGTAATTATTTTTGTTTTTCGGTTCAATAAATTTTTTGATGTTGGCTATTGTTTCGCTATAGAACTGTTCGAACAGCAACTATATCAGTATTCGGATCAATTATTATTCAATGTTCAGAGCCTGAAGTAAGATATGAAATAATATATTTTTTTTTTCTGATGAAATCATATTCTTTATAAAATATTCATCAAGTTCTATTAATTGAAAAATATCATATTCGTTTCTGCATATGCTTTTTCAAAGATCATGAACTTTTCATAATTAATTTCTTTACATACTTATCAATCTATTCTATCAGTGTGACATTTTAATACAAAAATAGTGCAAAATAGAAGATCATGTTGATAAATTGATTTGATCAGAGTGCTTGAATATATCGAAATTAAGACTTCAACTGATATGTTAGTCACGCATCGACATATGAGCAATTAAGAAAATCACCTAAGGCTCAAATATTTCTTAACATCGTTGACTCTCTTAGGATGCTTGTGTAACTTTTTAGTTTTCTGATCATATATATATGTTGTAGGCAAAATTGAAATCCGGGCAAATTTAAAATTTGCCCAGTCAAAATTGAAATTTTAATTTTGACTAGGCAAAATTAGAATTCTAATTTTGACCAAGAATTTATCAGTCAGAATTAAAATTTCAATTTTGACTGGGCAGATTTAAAATTTGACTAGAGGTTAGATCATTTAAATAAAACCAAAATAATTTCAAGAAATAGAATAAGTTTTTAATATGTTTTTTTTCATATAATGGTTAACAAAAAATCTTTTCAACTATTCATCCATATTCTTACGAGCACCTTGTTTTGAATGACACATTGTAAACCAAAAAACTCCCATTTTTCTACATTCATATGGCTTTGTAGTGCTTAATAATCCTTAATGAAAGGACTGAAATACGTGAAGATGCTTTTCTGGTCTTTTATCTAGACTTCAGAATGCTTGTAGGCGTTCAGTGGACTAAATTATTGAAAAATTCTTCATGCATGCTATAGAAACTGGGAAGTACGTAGGTAGGTGCCCGATTACGATGAGGTACTGATATAGTTCCTTGCAGGATACTTAAAAGTTTTTGTAACATACTGATAGCAGGGTACCTTTTGGGATACCTTGAACTCAATACTTTCATTAGGGACTATGAAGCACTACAAAGCAATGTGAATATAGAAAAATCGGAGTTAACTGTTTTGCAAAGTGTCACTCAGAACAAAGTGCTTGCAAGAATATGGATGAATAGTTGAAAAGATTTTTTTATTACCCATTTTATTAAAAAGAATTAATAAAAAATTATTTTATTTGTTGTAATTATTTTTGTTTTATTTAAATGATATAACCTATAGTCAAATTTTAAATTTGCCCAGTCAAAATTGAAATTTTAATTCTGACTGATAAATTCTTGGTCGAAATTAGAATTCTAATTTTGCCTAGTCAAAATTAAAATTTCAATTTTGACTGGGCAAATTTAAAATTTGCCCGGATTTCAATTTTGCCTACAACATATATATATATATCACTGTGTGTAGATCTACTCTGAATCTACACTATCGGCTTACATTTATTACTTAACTAAAACTGTCTGCAGTCAGTATCGAATTCTAAGGTTCGGGTACAGTGCATTCGGACTTATATTCTATGCTATGACAATCTGTCACTTGACATATTAATCTTGAAGTATCTTGACCAAGTATTGAGAATGAGAATACAGACACGCTTTTCACTCACATTCGTACAATCGTGACGAGGGTTCTAATTCATAGCCTACTGATACTGAATTTCGGGTGTTCAAATGAAGCATAAACTGAGAGCAAAGCATTTTCGAAAAATCTAAGGCAAAGATTTTAGAGCTGATATTTTGCCTATAGACGCATTTGATATTGATTAAATGATTCTGGAACTTCCAATGAAAACGAATTTGTCTTTCTCAAAAAATATTCGGTTTCTAGATAAACTCAATTATTGCGTTCTTCTATCAAAAACTGATGACTATCATATGTGCTCATAGGCAAAAACTGCAGATCAAAGCTCTTTGTTTTGGATTTCTCGAAAATGTCTTACTCTCAAGAATAATTTCATTAAATTAGCCATAACTCTTTTTTAGTAAATCCTCAATCAGTATTCTTGAAAGTTTGACTGATAAGATTTGTATGCGAAAGTGTGTTGCATTGCAGAATGAGAAGTATATCAAAAGAGAAAACTAAAACAATATTTTCGTCGTTCGATTATTTTGATTTTTTTTTCATAAATTAGATTCTCGAACGAGTTTATGCTCAATTTCAAATATTTGATAAGTAAATATAAATTTCGACTTTCTTTTTGTTTTTTTATAAGTTATATTTAATTATTTTAAAATGACTAGTGATACAACATTTCGTGATGAACATCGTGTTCAAAGTGAATTTATAAAAACTTTTACTCAAATTGCACCTTATGCTGAAAGTAAATTTCGTGAAGATTTTATTCTTCCTTTTTTGGCGTTAATTGCTTCACAAAATTCTCAACAACAATCAGAACGTGGTCAAGCAAAACGTCTTGAAATAGCTACCTATTTATTTGAAGCATATAGTGCATTATCCTGTTGTCTTCATTCGGGTCAATCAATATTAAATAGTTTCTTACCAGGTCTTTATTGCTTACGTGTAGATTTTGCACAATTAAGACCTGATAGTGTTGCTGTATTAGATTCCATTATTAAAGATCTTGAACATAAACTTGAGCAATATCGACAAGATAGGTTTGTATTGGGGTTCTCTAATTTAACAAAAAAAAAACAGAGTTTAATTATTTATTTCATTGTTTTAGTTCATTATTAATCGGTGGTACAAATCTCAATCAAGAAAATATTCGAGGACGAATGCTCAAAGGTTTAACGAATTTTCGAGATTCAACTGAAAAGTTAACTTATAGATTTATGAAAAAAAAATAAAACTATTCTTCTGGGCTTGAATGATCAAAATCATAGTTTTTTTTCTTCAATAATGCTCACATGACATATTGACCGATTTGCCTAAAATTCAAATATTTTTTTGTTTGTTTTTTTTTTCATTTGTGTTTCTCTGTATATTTGTATGAATTTATTTTTTCTTTCTTTTGTGTAACAAAAAAGCGTATTTCAAAACGACACTTGAATGTTTATCTTATACATTCTTTACTGCTTAATCGAAAAATAAATTTCTCATGACAATATCATTAATATATTACTTTTCTTGAAAATGCAATAGAATAGAATATTCAAAGAACTTTCTCAATAAAAGATGAAGGCAAGACAGTTCCGAGCTTCAAAAACAATCAAACTTCACAAAAATCGATTGTCAAGATGTAGAAAACATCATCGTATGTAGTAGGAGAACATCGGAGACCGATAGAACACGGATGCAGTTCTTCGAACCAGAAAGTCTTCGAATTTTTTCTGATAATGTAGAGCCATTTCTCATACCGGAAACAACAGGAAGTTCACCAGAAAAATCTGAAGACTTTTCATCCGGAATATTGCTTTGAAGTTTCAGCGATTTCTACAGTTTTTCTGCTGAGAATGTTCCGTACTTCTTTAGCCAAGATAGAGCCTGTCAATATGATTTGGGACTTGATTGGATCCGGGCTTGAAAATTTTGAACCCGACAGACTCTGGGCCACTTCATGGATTCTAAATAAATATAAATAAGATGATCCTTGTTTTCTGGTCCAACACTGAGTTTGGGACAAAAGATGACTGGTCTTGATCATGTCTATCAACAACTATTGAAGCATGTTTCCACTATTAGGATATGCATGTATTTGTAAGACTACAGACAAACATCAGGTTCACTTCATGTAAATCAATGTTTGATAGTAGTTTATGATTCTGGATTACAATGTATTAACCAAAGATTGTTTGAAAACTTTTAAAAAAAAAGTTTTACAGTTTTCTATATAAATCTCATATACACACACAACGAAAACAGAAATTATAACAAAAATCAAAGAAATAGAAACAAAAAATCAGCAATGCTCATAATTATGAATCGGCGAATGTAGGCGATATACAAATAACATAAAATAAAACTTATGTTGAATCCTTTTTTAGATTTTCGCTATCTTCATTACTAGCACCATCAATTGTTTTATACAATTCAGCATAATTACGATTTAATAAATTTTTCAAATGTTGTCCATATGATTGTGGTTTATAGTTAGGTTCTTTATCAGCTGGACACCATCGAGTCCCTAAATCACGAGTATCAATCGGAAAATCTAATTGTGGATCCCAAAAAAAGACAATAGAATAACGATCACGACCCGAACGATTAATAACACGATGAGGAGTTGCTCGTAAACAATCATTTGTCCATTTTGAAGCACTATCACCAAGATTAACTAGAAAAGCTGTTTCACCGTTGGATGATATCATATTCGGAGCTAGAATCCATTCACCATTTGGTGTTTTTACTTCTAAACCACCAACATCATCTTGAGATAAAATAGTTATAAAACCATAATCACAATGTGGTGCACTACCAAAGACACCTTCTGGTATTGGTGATGGTTGTGGTGGATAATGAAGCATACGTAAACCAATTGATGGTCGTTTAAAATGTGAAGCAAAACGATCAAAATCAGTTTTACTTGCAGCAAAAAATACTTTTGTTAATTCAAGAGCTAATTTTTCTAATTCATAATAATAAGCCAGTACAGCTTGACGAAATTCTGGCATACCATGGGGCCATTGATTAGGACCTTGTAAATATCGATTATATAGATCTTCTTCTTTTGAATCAAATGGTCCTTCGAAATGTTCATGATTAATAATAAATGATTCACTTTGATTTGGTGCTTTAACAACTTTTTTTGTATCTTCAAGTAATACACCTTTAGATTTTGAATCAGATTTAATTTGATATGATGCTAATGGAAGATATCCTCTATGCCATTGATTCAAACGGATTTTATTCTTTTCTTCTAATGGTAATGCATGAAAACGACGATGTTGAATAAAAACTTGATTGATTATAGATTCTGGTACACGGTGATTAACGATATAAGCAAAGCCCATATCTTGAAATGCACTAGTGAATTCTTCTGCAACTTTCGATAAACCTATGGGAGTTGAATCCCATAGTGGACTAAGATCAATTATTGGAATGGTCATCTATAAAAAAAAACTGAGGAAATTTTTTTATAATATTCTTTGATGTAGTAGACGCTAATGCCATATATGAAACACATGTTGAAAAGCTCATTTCGATAGAAATGCAATTTTCAAACGAAAGAAAAGTTTTAAATACTTCTCCGAATCGAAGTAAAACTTTGAGCAATATCGAACAGAAAAAACATTTGTGTAGAAGAACACATATTCGAGCATATGAACGTCGTGTAATCATCAAAAACTCTAAAAGAATTCCAGTTGCTAATGAAATTTGACTTAGTTATTGTATTTCATTCAAGAGACCTTAGATTTTGCGAGACCCGTATTTATGAATTTAGGTTTGAGAGTTTATACATATAGAGAACTCACTCTATGTAATTTTTATAAGAAAAAAATCCGAAGTTTTGAAGAAAGTTTCTTCGACATATGAAGTTTGCAAAAAAAAAAGTCCATGTTGGATATACTCTCTATAGATAAAGGTCTATATCTTCTGGAAATTCAAACATGCGAATTTTATGAAAATCTGGAGCCTCTAGAAAGAAACTCAACAGCGTAGTCATACCTCGCTTGGAACCACAATTCTATTAGAGTTTTGATTAGAATACTATATATTATCTATAGGCAAAAAAATCATTCGAATATGAAGCGGGTAGCTAAAGAGGCTGCCTTGAAACTTTTATTCACATCATCGATTTGACTTATTAACATTTTTCATTAATAGAAAAGGCTGATAATACGAGTATATATGGTATGTGATAGGCTTTGAGGTTTTTGGACCCTTTTGGTTTTGAAAAATACAATCATCGTTAAGTTTCATAGGATATTTTGAATTGCAATGTTAATCAGAAGTCTGGACATTTGCCAAAATTTGCTGTTAGTTAAGAAACAGAAACAAGACAATTGCTTCGTTTAATTATGTTTTATTATCTTAAATAAAATAATTTCACTTTTGTTTATCCTTAAAATTATGAAGTAAAGAATCGGTGAAAATTTCTAACAACTATTTAGGTCTACATACGGAAAAAAAAGAACAGAACAGCATGAAGCAGAAAAAAACAATGACTAGTAACAAAAAAAAAAAGAAACAAAAAGGTAAAGAGGAAAGTATTTGAAAAAAACAACAGGAAGTTAAAATATATTGTGAAAGTAAATAATGCAAAAGCCAATTGTGCTACCTACAGATAATTTTCATAAATTTGTTTTGTGAATATCAATAATATATATATACCTATATGTATAAAAGGAAAAAAACTCGTATGGGAAAAAATTTTAATGCCTATCAAAATTATCAATAAATGTTAACGAATCATTATAAACATTATCAAAAAGAAATGCTAATATATATTGAGTATTCATGAGATTTTTCCTTTTAGACAAGAAAAATTTACTAAATGATTGAATACAATCATGAAATTTTGCATATATTAATGTTTGAACCAATATTTATATCAGCAAGATCCGATTTTTGAATCTGAACATTAAATAAATAATTAAGTATAACTTGAATCATATAACCAGTTGAACCACCCACAAGACTAATTGGAAGATTATAAAAATCTTTATAAGGATCTACTGAATTATTTTGTTGTTGAAATAATTTTACTGCTTCATTTATTAAATAATCAACATCAAGTGGTTGAATAAAACATAATTCTGGATTACGTTGAAGTAAAACATTTATTGCTTCAAACATCTAAATTTTTAAAATAGATACTAGAAGAAAAATTCAATACAAACAATTTTACTTCTACAACAAGACAACGATAAGCTGGATCAAATACATGACTAAGCATTTCTTCAATTTTTAATGAAAAATTTAATTCATAATCAGTCATATCAGATAATGTTGGTTGCTAGAAAAAAAAACACACACACTATGAATATTTTTTTATCATTAAGTTTTCTATAAATCTACTTGTGGAAGTAAAATATTGCATAATTTAATTCCTTTTGGTGTTCGTTCAAGTATAGACCAAACATGTTCATAAAAATTCGTCGGTACACGTGATAAAGCTCCATCCATTTGTCGTTTTTGATATGATGATCTAATTAATGATTGATATTGAAAATAATATAATAAATTTTTGCATTCTCAAATTTTACCTTGGTTCTATCTCAGCACCTTGTAATGTTGGTTGTTGTAAATTAGTTGTTAAAACATAATAAAGCAATTGTTTGATATCATTCGGTGATATTGTATTTAATGTCTTTTCAAAAAAAATATAATTTTATTAAATAAAATCCTGATGAGACTAACATGTGAAACACGATATAACTGCTATCGTTGAAAACAGGAAAGTTGCTTTATTCTACTTATTTTGGGAAGTATTTCTTCACCATCTTTTTTTTTTTAAAGTCTCCAGTAGAATTCATCGTATTGATCCCAGAACTGGAAGTTAGAGTCTACGAATGTTGAATGTGATGGAATTTAATCAACTGTGAAGTTTATAGAATGCGCTATCTAGACCAATGATTTTGGTTGAAAAACTTAGGAAAATGGTAAAAATTTGAAAAAAGAAATTCGATGATCAGGCTTCACAGCTAAGGTTGTCTAGTTCCAGTCGAAACCGAACTGAACCAACCACTATATCCTTATTTTTGAGCTCCTACCGTCTTTCGATCGAAGACGGTGCTTATTATTTGACTTGAGTAGTCATCGAATACCAAAAAGCGCAAAAAAAAAATATCTCATATCTTGAGGATGACTATCTAACGGTGATTAGAAAATTTCATTAAGAGTATCAAGGTACAGTTCGACAGGGTTCGGTTTCGAAAGTTGTAGACCTGATAGAACTTCATCGTTC